TCCTCCACAGAGAGTGAAAACATCACTGAATCAAATAGCCTTAGAACACTTTCATCACTCCAAAATAAATGTTGTCTGTTAATAGTTCTCCTTTGCCTTTGACACTCTTCACCTCTTTCTATGCAATCAACAATTTATTTTCAGTCTCTATAGATTTACTCATTCTTGGCATGTCAAATAAAAGTCATCAAAATTATTTTTAGTCTGATTTCTTTCTCTTATTTGAAAACTAGATGTTTTTGTGCTATGTTATGAGACAATGAATTTTACTTGTTTCTGTTTCAATTGGTTTTCTCTGTCATGGAAGGAGAAAGTGCCTCTTTACTGCAAGGTGGAAGTAGAAGTTTAGATTTTCTACTTGGTCTCCATGGATACCACAACTCTTCATCACCATGCAGTTGGCAGTTAGATGGAAGTAAATGATGGCAGCACCTCACATGGTCATCATGGTCAACACTGAAGTGGGATGGACTCTTCATGACTGGGCACTGCCATTATCTGACCATATTTCAGCAGACATGGAGAAGGGTCCCCCATTACCATCTCAGGATGGACTTCCAGGCTCTATATCTGGCTTCCTTTGACACTGTATAATGGGACAAAGGTTTATTACCAGAAGGGAGGGAAGAAATATGTGCCATCGTAAGACTAAAAATAAAGAAAAACTAAACAAAAAACCTGTGGAATCTTACCACTGTTTTGTTCTTTAAGTCTTATGGTCTTTGGCTAATCTCCTTTTTTTCTCCAACTTTTAATTTCTTTGTAAATTGCTTTATATGTTAAAACAGAATATTCAGTATTAGAATAGGAGATGAGATATCTACTCAATGTCTTTGGAAACCCAAGTGCTCTACCACTGAGTTACGAACATCAAATTGGGATCGGTAGTTTTTACCTATTTCTTACCAACCCACCCATTTAACTACTCATCTTATAAAACTAGTGCTTCCAGAGCACACATTGACCCTAGGTTTTCATTACCTTAGAAATAAAAATTAGATGCAAATTGGTTTATTTTGAATTCCAATTTAAATTATTCCATTATTAATTGTTTGACTTTGATAACTTAATTATTTTTATCATTTATTAAAATATTTGGCTGCATATATAAATTCTATTAATACATATGACACTTCAAGTTGTGTGGTAACTGTTTTAGATGTAAAGAAACAAAAACAAAACAAAACAAAACAAAAAAACTGAATAAATCAAAATAATTCAACAATTGGCTTATACTGTCTTATCTTTGTGCTCCATTTGCAATACTCAACTGTACCACAGGATGCTTTAATTAGAAGCCCATATGAAATATCCCCTGCTTGGTCAAGGGCACTATTTATTTACCCCAATTCCAAGGTATATTTTCTTCTATTAGTGTGCCACCCAGATGGCTCTCATCATTATGCTCATCATCCATGCGCTTTTCTTGTCTGTCTGACCTACAGACACCAACCTTCTGCTCCATACTGTTATCCATGGAAGCTGCTCACAATTCTCTCCACAAGAACAATTATTAACCTTGATATCAGGAAAGGATATGCTTTTTTCTTTCTGTTTTTCTTTATAATATTAAGTTCTCAATCCTCTTTTCATTGTATTTTCTGAAACTAAAAGGACACCAAAATGAAAAGAGAGCATTTATTTTGTATCACTTTTTAAACCCTTTTGTCAATCTCTGCCTTTGAATTGTGAAATTTAATATACTGGTATTTAGAGAAATTACAGATAATGGAGGATACCCTTCTGGAATTTGGCCTTTTGTGTCTTTTTTTGTCAGTATTCCTTTTCTCTGTCAGAAGATCCCCTCTTCAGTTGTGACTGAGCTCTAATATGGGTGCTTACTTTGAATATCCACAAGTTCTTAAAAGAATAAGATAAAATTATAACTGAACAATTCTCGGAAATCACAGAACAGGAAGGCACCTGAGTTCCAAACAACCAGAGAATAAAGTCCTTGTGGAACACCTGGGCATCCAGGGCAGGTCTCAGTGGTCCTATCAAGAGCTGGAAACAAGTCTCAAATAGAGCCAATTTGTTTTCATTGAAAAGTTTAACATCTTTTCAGGAAAACATCAACAAAACAAGCACTGTTAAAATTCACAATATCAAACATCCAGTCACAAATGAGAAAGATGAGGAATCAGGTATATGTGACATTATTCAGGAGTTAAATAAAATGCATTCAGATAGAATTATCAAGAAAACAATTTTAAAATATATATATATATATATAAACAAGTTCAATACACTGAATGAATAAACAAAAACATTAACATTGTAAACAAAAACTAATTAACAAAGTGAATTTGTAGAGATGAAAATGCTGAATGAGAACAGATATTTACTCAAAAAACTTATAGGTTATACACTAAAAAAGAAAAGATGACTTGGTAGGTATGGTGGTACAAACCTGTAATCCCAGTAACTCAGGGGACTGGAGCAAAGTGATTGCAAAGTTCAAGGCCAGCCTCAGAGACTCAGGGAAGCCCTGAATGAAAATAAAAAAAATACAATAAAAAGACTGGTTATGTAGCTCAGTGTTAAAGCACCCCTGGGATTAATTTCCAGGACTAAAAGGGAAGGAAGGAAGGCAAATACCTGAACTTAAATAAAACACATCATAGACTACTTAAACTGAAGCCAGAGAGAAAACAAAATACTGAATAAAAAGCTTGAAAATAATCTTTGTTATCTGTACAATAATAGAAAGTTAACAAACATGTATGCACTTATGGATCCAAGTGAAAAGATGACACTATATTGAACAGAAGAATAAAAGAAAATGAAGACATGTTTGCCAGAATATTTTCCAAAATTGTTTTAAAGAAAAATATACTTCCATAGATAAAACAGGCTGAAATAACTACAAGACAGTAAACAGAAATGAAAATAAATCAGTTGGGCATGGTGTTGCAAGCCTATAATCCCAGTGGCTATAGAGGCTGAGACAGGAAGATTTTGAGTTCAAAGCCAGCCTTAGCAACAGTGAGAGGCTTAGCAATTCAGTGAGACCCTGTCTCTAAATAAATACAATATAGGGCTGGAGATGTGGTTCAGTTGTCGAGTGCCCAAGTTCAATCTCTTGTACCAGAAAAAAAAAGAAAGAAAGAAATCAAAGTGTAAAAGTGTACAAACTCAATTTTTTGAAAAATATTTATAATATTTAATATTTTTAAAAACAGCCAGAGATTAAAGCATAAACATGAATAAATGATTTACCACTGATGTATTTGTAGAAAAATTATGCTATTGGCATTGTTTTATGTTAATTTATAATTGTTTTTGTAAAAAAAATTATTCCTGATCAATGAATTTATTATAAAATATAGTGTAATATTGTTCTTCCAGGTACTCAATGCATGTGGAAGAGAAGTATGTCAATAATTACATGATATTACATAATTGAGATGGTGACAAAGGTACCAATTTGCAATTTCCAGAGTTTATAGCTATTGTACAATTTGTTTATTCTGTTACTCTGAAATATGAAATACTTTTTACTCTTCCTAATGGAATATAATGAGAATAATTAACTGATATGCAAGGCACTTTCCCTTAGGTAGTTAATTATGTGCAATTAGTTTGTATTTGAATTAGTTGAAATCTTCAGCACAATGAGTCTCAAGAGTGAATAAAGATAATATAAATCCATTCTGTTAGGATTAAAACAGTCAGAAGCCAAAGCAGATCTCCAGGAAGGTAAGTAGAAACACTGGACTTTGACATACTAAGGGCACCCAGCTCAAACTGGACTATCACCAATGATCTCAGAAGACCCTACATTCAGCAAAAGTATTTTTTTCCTTTTGGAATATACCTTTTTTGGCATAAAAACTTGAATAAGCAGGATGAACGTGTTATATAGTCCCTAATACTCTGTTAATTATTGATGCCACATTAGTTTCACATTAACCACTGCTTTCGTTGTCTATTTTAACAAAGATCTCCATTGTATTCATTACTTGGTGTTCCTTCTGCCCCATTTTTTATTTCCTGGATAATTAGAGCACCTTTAATGTAAGGTGGCATATAATAGCATTTGTAAGAATATATTCCTGAGGCAGAGGGATTTTATTCCAACCCTGACTTCACCACTTACCATCTGAGAGAATTTTGCAACTTGTTTTGACACCCCAAACCTTAATTCCCTTGCCTTTGAAAGGGCAGGTAATTACTATCTACTTCCTAGAGTTTGTGGATATCATGTGAGACAGTATCTATACAACAGTGCTTAGAAAACTGTGGGCACAGAATGTGTTCTTTTGGTTCTTGATATTCTGCTTTCTTCAGCTTTCTGCTCTTTGTTGGACTCATTTCCATGATTCTCTATTTCAGGCTTATGAATAATCAGAGTGTGGTCAGGTCCTGTTCTTTCATCAGAGGGATGTATCATTGGGACACCATTAAGAGTAGTTTTTCACCTGTCAAAAAGGACAGAAGTAGCAGACACAAGGTATCAACAAAAGTGTAAAGTAAACAACTCATGGCATTAGATTTTATGTTGATAAAGAAGCTGAGATGTATTGGAACATATACTTAATGACAAGAGATTTCCTAATTACTGTCTTGTTGATTAGCAATGGTATGTAAATTCATTTTCTTCTTATTTCTATGAACAATGTAAGGATTGACTCTAAGGTAAAGGCCATGGTTTACGTACAGATTTTTGCTTTAAAAATTATATGACAAAAAATTAAAAAGAGTAAAATAACAATTTCAACATATTTACAATAACTTTATGTCCAAAGAACTAGATTTTAATACCTGCATTAAAACTAGTTCTATGTTTCTTGCCTGTTTAAAGCTTACTTTACCAAAGTTCCAATGTGAACTAATGTGGTCTCCACCTCATGGCAGCAGAACTCCCTACTGGGTATTAGAGATGAAGAGAATTACCTTCCCCCCATATTATAGAGCATGCTGTAAGTTCTCACAGAAGACAGAATTTCAAATATAACTTGTATTGACTTCTTTGGCTTACACAGGTCACCCGGATTAACCATATGGAGAAAAGCAATCATACCACAGTGATGCAGGTTATGGAATTTATTCTCTTGGGGATTACTGACAACCCTGTCCTGCAGGCACCATTATTTGGAATCTTTCTGGTCATATACTTGGTCACAGTAGTAGGAAATCTGGGCATGGTCATCCTGACCCATTTGGATTCCAAGTTGCACACCCCCATGTACTTTTTCCTTAGACATCTGTCAATCACTGATCTTGGTTATTCCACTGTCATTGGCCCAAAGATGCTAGTAAACTTCATGGTGCATAAAAATTCCATTTCCTACATTGGGTGTGCCACCCAGCTGGCAATCTTTGAGATATTCATCATCACTGAACTGTTTATCCTCTCAGCAATGGCCTATGATCGCTGTGTAGCCATCTGCAAACCTCTTCTCTATGTGGTCATCATGAAAGAGAAAGTGCGTTGGGGGCTGGTGCTTACTCCCTACCTCTACAGCACATTTGTGTCCCTGCTTCTCACGGTTAAGTTATTCACCTTGTCCTTCTGTGGCTCTAATGTCATCAGGTATTTTTACTGTGATTGTTTGCCTCTGCTTTCCATGCTCTGTTCTGACACACATGAACTGGAACTGATCATTTTGATCTTCTCAGGCTGTAACTTGCTCTCCTCCCTCCTGATTGTTCTCATATCCTACACATTTATTGTAGTGGCCATTCTCAGAATGAACTCAAACGAGGGGAGATACAAAGCCTTCTTTACCTGCAGTTCCCATCTGACAGTGGTGGTTGTGTTCTATGGGACATTATTGTTCATTTACCTACAACCCAAATCCAGTCATACTTTTAATATTGATAAAATGGCCTCCGTGTTTTACACCCTGGTGATCCCCATGCTGAATCCATTGATCTACAGTCTGAGGAACAAAGATGTAAAAGATGCTCTAAAGAGAACTTTAATTCGATTCAAAATCCCCACTTAACATCTCAATTTTCACTTGCATATTATGTGCAACACACTTTTTATAAATGCTGTATCAGATCAAAAAGTATAAATATTTACCAGCTTAAATTTTTCTCTTTTCCTGGATAAAACATTCTTTCTCATAGAAAATTGCACTCTTCTCCACATCAATAGAATAAATATTGCAGTCAGATAATAAATACCAAATGATGCTCAAGATCATATTGCAATCTATATTGTTTGTAAATAAGAAAAATTATACACATTTACAATAACTTTATGTACAAAGAACTAGATTTTAATATTTGCATTAAAACTAGTTCTATACCTTGCCTGTTTAAAGCATATTTTACCAAAGTTCCAATGTGAACTAATGTGGTCTCTACCTCAGGGCAGCAGAACCAAATTTTCAGCTGAATTTAGGCCTGCAGAAGTAAAACTGTCTTAACTAGTGAAAATACGGTGAAATAATTGGTAATAGACATTTTATGTCAGTTACTGGGTGGTTAAAGATACATGAATTTTCAGAATAAGTAATGTGTCAGCTAGTCAGGAGGCAAGAAAATAATTAAATAGGTGATTATAACATAGCACAGATTTCTTTTTTCAGAATCGAGGCTGAATATAAAATACAGCATGCCAATTCAAAATGAAGTTTTCCATCAAATTAATACATTATATCTCAGGATAGATTGGGGATCTTTGAAGATTTGTTTTTAGGAACCAAGAAAAAATTATTCAATAACTCTAGATCCTTTAGGGCAGCTTCTCAAGCTCTAGCAAACTAGTTTTTCAAGTCCCCCTGATAACACTAGTCTAGGATTGAAAGCCGCAAAATAATACTCAAAGAGAATTATCTAATCATCTAGGGGACTTACATTAATATGTTTAAAATATAACTTAATTCACAGATTAAAAGTAAGTAATACACTAAAAGGCTAATAGTATTTTCATTCCTAAGTGTCTTTTGTCTCTCATGGAGCTTATATAGTTAATAAGGTGGATTCTGCTAACAGAATGCTTTCTTTTTTTGTTTTTGGAAAAACCCTCAAGACTGATTTCCTGTATGATTTCTGTAGTGCACATCTTTGATTCTTTTCTCATAGCTTCTTTATTCAGGAAACAACACATACACATCCTGATAGAGACTTCAGACTTTGTGCAGGAGGCAGGAAGCCTTCTGGCTTTAAAATACCGAAGAGAGATGGCTAAACAAAGAAAATAGAATTTTGTACCATTTTATCCAAGCATCCAAATGTTCATCTTTTAATGTAATACCATGGGGTTGAAACTAAGGTGCATTTCTAACAAGTTTACTTTAAATTAGGCATCAAATTTTACTACTAAATGTAGTAACTACTGCCAAAGCCGACTGTTCTCTGAGGAGCCAGGCCTGGTCCTATTCCCACCACATATAATCAAGATCCCTCATACATGGCTTTTGACTTCTATATGGCAGAGCAAACATCCAGAGTAGCCAAAGCAATTGTGAAAATTAAAAAAAAAGTTGGAAAGCTCATAATACACATTTGAAGACAGTCTGCCAGGCACAGTATACAAGACGATGCAACATTTGTAAAAATTTATAAATGAATTGATGGAAAGTGGTAGATATTCCAAGAAAACAGAGGCACATATGTATATTCAAGTCCCCGTGATAACGCTAGTCTAGGATTGAAAGCTGATTATAAGAAGCTAAATTAATTCAATGATATCAAATATGTGAACAACATGGAAATAGACCTAGATATAGATACAGATCTCTAAGTCAGGAACAAAAGGTCATCCAAATAAAATAGTAGAGAATATGTGAAATACAGTTATGGATAAATAGTATTGATCAATAAGTATATGATAAAGAGGCTCAACACCCTTAGCCACCAGATAAATGAAATTATAATAGCAACAAGAAACCATTTACCAATACATTACCAAGCATGAAGAGAATTGCAAATATCAGTTACAGTTTTTCATTTCAAATATTATCATACACTCCTGAAAGGCCTGTAAAATGGTACTTTATTTGGGGAAATAGGTGGCAATTTCAAATAAAGCTAAATAAATAACTACTATAGGTTTTAAAAGTTCATTTCCTGGATTTTTGTTTACAAGGAATGAAACTACATCCAGAAAAATGTATATATGTATATATTACTGATAGTTCTTATTCATATAGACAAAAGTGAAACTATCCCATTGTTTATCCACAAATAAAAGGGTATATTGAAGACTGTGGATGTGGCTCAGTGGTTTAGTGCCTCTGAGTTCAATTCCTGTTACTCACCCTCCACACCAAAAATGATATATTGTTGTGCGTAGATGGACACATAGATGATAAGTCAATTTATTTTATTTTATTTTAGATACCAAGATTAAATCCAGAGGTGCTTTACTATTGAGCTATATCTCCAGTCCTTTTTTTTTTTTGTCTTAAACTAGGGTCTTACTAAGTTTCTGAGGCTGTCTCGAATTTATGATCCTTCTACCTCAGACTCCTGAGTAACCAGGATTACAGGTTTATACTACTATGTCTTGCAAATTGTAATGTCATTTTTAAAACAGAATACTTCCCAGCAATTGTATGAAATGAACTACATATACATGTAGTAATGTGGTTGAATTCCAATGGCATCAGCTACACAAAAACCTTTTTTTTTAATGTTATGTCCTAGAACAGGCAGACTAATCTATCATGTAAAAATTATAGCAGTTGTGGCCTGAGATATGGAATAGTGGAATTTCCTATAAAGAGACACTGGGAAACTTC